GTGTGTGTGTGTGTGTGTGTGTGTGTGTGTGTGTGTGTGTGTGTGTGCGTGCGTGCGTGCGTGCGTGCGTGCGTGCGTGCGTGCGTGTGGTGGGGAGACGGAGTCACATCTATGTTTGTGTTGCCCGCCTGCTAGCTGCCGGTTTTTATCAACGGGGGGTGGGGAGGGGACGGTTATGTGTGTGTTGCCCTCCCGCTAGCTTAGCGCTACATTTTTGCCCTGCCGGTCGACAATGATAGCATTTTTGCTAGCGCGTTTGTATTGCGCCCTGCGCTACATCGATAAGAACAGTTGTTGATGGGCGGGGGGGACGGTCAGTAGACAGGGTGCTTGGTTCTGTTGACAGGGTGCCCCGCTTGTACAATGGTAGGGGAAACACTGATTATACAAGCGGGGAGCCCCACCCCGTCAACAGAACCACCCTGTCTACCGAACTCCTCCCCTCCCGTCGACAACTGTCGGTATTGATGTAGCTCAGGGCGCAATACACATGCGCTAGCAAAAATGCTACTGATGTACCGCTCCACTCAGTTACCCCCTCCCCCCACCCAGCAACAATTACCGGCTACAACGTAGCGCTAAACACAGATGTGCCCCCAGTCATCGATAAAAACCAGAAGCAACGTAGCGCTAAGCTAGCGGGCGGGCAACACAAGTGACTCCGCCTCCCCCTCATTGTCAATTAAAAACCGGCAGCAACGCAGCATCGTGTCTCTCCTTCCTCTCCCCACGGTGGCAAAAACTAAATAAAAACAATGAGTGCCCCATCAGTGTAGCTGATCTGGGGGAAATGGGGGAAACGCTGAACTGCACCATGTTTAGCGGCTGCTTCACAGATTAGGGTTTGGAGGCATCGAGCCTCAGTAGTATGAATGAAAAAGCTCACAACAGCCACACATTTAGCTTCTGTAACAGTAGCTGACTGAACTCTTTTTAACTGAAATACTTTAGATTTTAAAGTACCCAAACTTAGTGTAGAGAAACATTCAACTGGGATGAGACTGTAAAAGTTGAAACAGTTAAAAGTGGAGGTCCAGTCAACACCAAATCATTACAATAATCATTCCATAAAAGTAATTTGACACCCGACTTCAAAACTAAAGTATTTTCTTACAGGGACAATTTTTGGAAGCAGAAACAACAAACCATATCTGGATGGTGCAACCTTTCCTACAGTCTGTGCCTGTGGGGTTCAGAGCGAGGTGGAGAGGGTGGAGGTGGGAGCGTGACAGTAGTGGGGGGTTCCACGGGGTCGTCCATAGGCAGGACCAGGCGCGTGCCGCGGATCGCCACGTCGTGCTCCGTCAGGGTGAGCTCGTGTCCCAGAGTGTCGTTGAACGAGCCACCCCTGGCGCTGGTCGCGGTGAAGCGTTTGGGGTCGACGGTGCGAGAGCCGGACGCGTCTGTGCTGACGGTGACGTCGGCGTACATGGAGCTCACGTTGGCGTCGTTCAGAATGAAGTCGGTATCGTCATGTAGCTGCTCTTCATTCTGGTGAGGGCAAAAGGACGGGAGAATAACTGCAACTTCAAAGAAAATACAATTCATCTGGAAACAACAAAACGATCTTCATACGTAGGCCTGAAGTGATTCAAATGCAAGTGGACAGCTCTGACTGAGCGTCTTCACACCTAGCAGTAACATTCCTACCACAAAGCAGTTTTGTGATCTGAATACAATGATTAGTGAATTCACAAAGGATGAAGATTTGAACCCATAACCACAGCAAAATGGTGTGCTGATAGCAATCAGCTGTTTTCTGCGCAGCTTCCTGTGACCGCTGCGTTTAATCAGCTGAATACAAGGCAACGCTGCTCAGACTGATGTTCTGTGAGTGACAGCATATGAAAGCTTAAGGTGACCACAGCAGGTCCAGTCAGCTCTATAAACAACCAGATCAGACGTTAAACTACAGAGAAACTCACCATGCAGGGTGGTAATTTACTCTGATAAAGAGAACCCACATAAAACAGACGTGTCTACTGAGAAGGATTCTGATAAACTGTTATGACACAATTAAACCTGCATCTACAGAATCTTCCTAAGGTTTTAATTACCTTTAATCAGATGGAAACTCGATCAGACATTTTCTTTACCTCACAATGTCCAGCTACTTGTGTGGGGTCACATAATCAGTAGGAGGTTCTGCATTGAGGCTCAGGACAGACTGTGTTCAAACTACCAAACATGTGGTTAAAAAAACAACAACACTACAGCACCTCCAAAGTATGACTAAAGACGTCAAGTTCAGTCAAAGTAGGAAACCAAATAAAAAAATTAAAAAAAAAGTCATCTAAAATAATCTCTTTAACATGGTCAAATAAAGCTTGTTTCATTACTAAACACCTATCAATATCTGTAAGCACCCGTGTCAAATTCATCTTTATCAGAGTTAGGCCTGTCACGATAAACAATAAATCAATTAATCGCATGATAAATGAAAATTAAAACCTCGTTTTCATTTATCGGCTTTATCGTTTCTTTGTGTCTCTCTCTTTCTACTGAAGACACTGGATGACAAAAGGTTCAACTCCGGTGTTCTTCACTGACCCCTCCCCTTTCTCTCTTTTCTGTTTTCTTTAAAATCCATTTTAACCGTCCAAAATCGCGTTTTGGATCGTTAAAAGCAGCTAAGCTGAGAAGCTAAGCTACGAGCTAAGCTAACAGGCCGACCTCAAGAAAAAGCCTCAGTTTTGTTGAAGCTCCAAAACTCACGGTTGAAACCCGTGCCTTCGTGTAAAACGTTGTTTTTCTCTGCAAAAGCAAGCTGACAACTTGTTTACTGATTTTTTTTATTTATTTAAAGCTTTGTGTGAAAAATGCTATGCTAAACAGCTCAAATCACACCGAGCATCTGCCATTTTGAGAACCAAAGAAAAGAAAAGAGACAGCCCATGTCACGTCAAGAGGCCTCCCTCCCATTTTCCTGAGAGACACACTGCGTGCTCTCTCACTATCCATCCTTCAGTTCAAAAAGTCTTATACTGCCAACAAGTGGTCAAAAAGGGTACTACGTGCAAAATAAATTGACCAACATTTCATCTTAAATTTGATGATAATTACTAATTATTGTCAAAATTCAAACAATATTATAGTTTATCGCAATAATTTCTGAGACAATTAATTGCCCAGCAAAATTTGTTATCGTGACAGACCTAATCAGAGTCAATAAATTATGCTTTATGTCCAGACCTCATATGCCAGTGGACTGGTGAGACATCGTGCCAGAGGTCCACAACAAGCCGGCAGAGTAGCTGTGAGAGGAGGACCGCTGTGGGTCAGCAGGGGTTTCAGGTAGCTGGTCAAAGAGTTTCTGTCAAGGGCTTAACAATTAGAACAAACGTTCTTTTAGTTAAATACTCTGATTAATTAGATGTACATCCGTCTGTCCATCCATCCAGATTCAGCGCAACCTACTGGCTTCCTTAGATAAATCATTTTTATTAATTGACTTCTATAATGTATGTGAATGTTTCTGTTCAGTGCCCTGAGATAACTTCTGTTGTGACATGGCACTTTCTAAAAAACTGAATTGAATTGAATCCACTGGTCTTCTTTACCTGCCTTTCTGTTCAGGGGAGCTGGTGCCCATTTATCTAAAATACATTTTAGATCTGACTAGGAAGCCATTTTAGTGAGATTAACAAAATATTTAAAAGGCATCTCTGTAAGTAAAAAAAACACCAAAAAAAATGTTTTTAATCCATGCAACTGTATGTAGTCCTTGAAGGTTGTAAAGAGCGCCCCCTGGTGTTTCAAACTGAGCTCAGCACCTTCAGTTCAGTGGAGATAAAGTTCAAAGGATACTTGTGGTCAAAGTTGTACCAGATTCTGAAGGGCCAGGCGCTCTCCTGTTTGGTGCTTCTCCGCTGTGACCCGTCCAACACAGCAGAACTCTGCGAGGCAGAACACTGCAGTTTAGTTACCAAGTTTGTTATGTTGTTTAATTTATTATAGATTAACAATGTGAAAAGGATCAAATAAAAAGGGGATTTAAGTTGTGCTAATCACTTACAAAGTTTTCTTGATCAGAGTCCACACCCACTCTGGGGGATAAAAAATGTCACCTTTATGTAATGAATTATAAACAAACAAACAGGATAAATGCATAAAAACAGATGCCAAGTCTTACGGTATGCTCATGAAAGACAGCATGGGCGTGGTGCCACCTCCACAGATCCACACGGTGAAGAAAACAATCAGGAGGGTGGTTGAAAACATCATTTGACGGGCGTAAGTAGCTGTGTCCCGGATAGAAAGGGCGAAGGTCATCGCCCCTCGCAGACCTGAAGGAAACGGGAGATAATGAGTCTGTACACGTGTTCACTGCATCACTCCTGTTGTGGCGACAGAAACAAGCTAACAAAGTCATATTTTAAAGAGTTGCATCCAAACCAACAACAAACGGTGGTTGTTTGGTTGTAAATGTGTGCCCACAGTGTGAAATCTGTGTTTCTTCCTCGCTGGCTCGCAGAATGCAATAAACAACAGAAAGGCTTTCAAGTAGTTTTAACACATTTAGGTTAGTTGTGAGTACTTGCAGGTGGTGAACAGCAGGCTGTGAGTTTCTAGTCAAAATCAAAGGTTTGCACACGTCTGAGGTTTCTGTTTCGACAGTAAACGCTGGGTGATGTAGGCACTGCTACACTGCTAAACCCGATTCTCACAGGTGTTGTTAGCCGAAAAGATCATTCTGCAACTTATCTAAGTAATTTCTTCTTTTTACTACATGTTAGGATCTATTCAGTACTTCAAGTATTTTTAAAAAGGCAAAGGGTAACTGAATGACTCGTGGTATGTTCAATTTAGATCCGATCCAGAAAAACTAAGCTTCTCACTTTTACTATACTCACCTGCAAACATCATGACGTGCTGAAAGTTTGATCCAATCTTGTTTCGGCGACCCAGGTTGAGGAGGAAGGACAGGGGGTAGATGTTTGCAGCCCTGCCGAGAAACACCGCCACCTACGCAACACAACGGGGTCAAGGACACAACCTGCCGATGCAATGAGACAGAAAAAGCTAGTGGGGGTTTGGAAACTCCATCTCAGGTTTGACTAACGTGTCTTTCAAATGTGCTCTAGAGTTTTATGCGTTTGCCCTGATGACTTCAGTTAGACAGTTATTAGATAGCTGATCATTACTACGAGCTCAGTTTTAGCATTTTTTTTTAAATTTCATTTCTAAAAAATGTCTCAAGACTCCAGTCATCATTCCCTGACACCAACTGAAACTTAGTCACACTTTCATAACCTTACTGAGATGGAGTTTTGTTTGGGATGCTAATGAAAGCTATCTAAGAGGCTTCATAATGTCCAAAACTCTGCTGTCTGAGTTCTTCCCCTGGTCCACACATCTGGTCTCCAATTAGGCCACAAATAAATGACAACAATCTTCTCTACAAATCGTTCTGTAGCTTTCACAAAAATGTTAAATCGTGTCATCTGGACAGATTCTTTTTTGGAAGAAACGTTTCGTCTTTAATTCGAAACGCTTCATCAGTTTGAGGCCTGCCACCAAGAACTGTCTTATAAATAGCACCTCACTGATGTTTCAAGGCAGCCTGCTGTGGAATTACCAGGAACTGGTTTTACACATGCACAAATGGGACCATTCGTCCCAATCAAATGTTTTAGGCCTGATGGACAACTTGCTGCTCACAGAAACAGCCTGAAGACACAACCGGTTCTTACAACCTTTATTCTGAACCATTTTGGCCAGGTTCTCTTCAGGCTGTTTCTGTGAGCAGCAAGTTGTCCATCAAGCCTAAAACATTTGATTGTTTTGGACGGATGGTCCCCTTTGTGCACGTGTAAAGCCAGTTTCTGGTAATTCTACAGCAGGCTGCCTTGAAAGATCAGTGAGGTGCTATTTATACGACAGTTCTTGGTGGCAGGCCTCAAACTGATGAAGTCTTTTGGATGAAAGACGAAACGTTTCTTCCAAACAATAATCTGTCCAGGTGACATGATTTAGCATTTTTGTGATTTATGTACCTGGATGTTTGTTCTGTAGCTTTTCTCCTCTGACCTCCCTCACCCTTACATTCTGTCCGGGGACTCAAAGTCTTTTGATGGTGGACTTCTCTTCATTCATCACACCAAAATGCTAATTTTCTTTGTAAGAGTTTTCAAAGTTGCAGCTCAACCCTCTGGAATCAATCTTCTCTACATTCAACAGTACCGGCACATATTCAAATACTTCCTAATGTTACTTATTTCACCAAAGCATTCAATCTGATCTGGTTTCTTTTTCCTCCTCAGCGTCTGAAGGGATTTTTTTTCCATATTTTATTATTTGATTTTATTCAGATAATTTATTTAAAACTTCCTTTGCTTTCATGAAAAGCATTATATGTACTTATAAACTGAAATAATCATTGTCAGCTGCAGTATTTGTAAGAGGACATGAGAATAGTTGATGAATACTAATACTAAAGCTTGCCAAATGATACAAAACAGGTGAAGAGACCAATAATTCCAAGTTTGACTGGAAAACTATTAACAAGCCTCAACAGGCTGTAAGGGCTTATTTAGATCAAAGTTTTATCCCACAAATCAAAATCGCCAGAAAAGCCTGGGTTTGTTTGTGTGGTGCACAGAAGGATACAAAGGCGCCAATGATGAACAGCGGGTTGAAGACATGTGACTGGAAGGAGAAGAGAGTCAGACCCATGTAGGAGAAGATGAAGTTCTCTGCCAGGAAGTTCAGCAGCTCAAACAACTGTTGGATAAAAGACAAGAAACCAGTCAACAAAGACGTCTTAGATAAAAGTCAGCGTGCTTTTTCTCCAAGAAAATGATTTTCTAGTTGTAGTGTGCACTCCTCAGTCACCAAATTAGTCATTTTCAATAAATTGTCAAGTTTTCTGCAAATACTGCAAACCAAAAACAAACTGATAAAGTTGATCTGCTTTTGTTCTTTAAAGTCTCATTATGTCCATTTGCATGAGCAGCACTCCATTTACTCAAACTAACATTCAAACCCCGACAAAGAGCACATTTCTCTACAATCTACTTGTGTAAAAAGCTCCAGTTAATGATTTAATTCTTTAAGCAGAATCTTTTCTTGTAGAAAACGTGTGGCAAAAGTATTTTTTTACATTTCAGATTACACTTAAACCAACAGAAACAGAGCTGTAATAACCTCCTGCACATCTGCGATCACTAGATGTTTTTTTTAACCTATCTGCACTTTTTTTTGATAGTGTTTCAGAAGATTAACAATATCAATGACATATGGTGCGTTTGTTGAAATGTAGTCTTTGGTTCTTCAGCTCTCAAGAGATAAAAGGCGTAGTAATCTTATCAATTTGAAGAATTCTCCAGAGCATGACAAAACGGAACACCCACATCCTCTGTTGAGTATTTGCTTTAAAGACACTTAATTTCACAGTCTTCTTAACGCCTCTATATCAGTTTATTAGTGACTTTATAAAGTAGATTCTTACAGTATTAATATAAAGTAGTCCCTCGCTATTTCGCGGTTCGACTTTTGCGGATTTGCTCTTTCAAGGTTGTTCAAAGTAAGATTGTACACGAGAAAATTAAAAAATAATAATAATAATTGTATGACACACAATTGTCAACTTTAATATTACTCATGTAATGGGGACAGTACAGGATACAGTGAAAAGTTAACAAAAAAATACTTAGACAGGCACCGCCATTTTGTAGTTTTCGCTCACTAAGCCTATACTGTAACACTCAAATGGACTACATTTCCTAGAAGCCAACAGTGCCCCGTTGATTTCTGCTGAAATACATAGAGGGAAAGTTTTGATCTGATCCAAAAAAGTTTCTTATTCATATAGTGACTTTGGCACCCAGCGGATGCAGAGAGCTGCACGGAACAGACTGGGAACCAGACCAAAACTGAACCTTCAGACTCATCGGTCAATCCGAGTGCGGCCCGGAGGTCCGGCGTTCTCTCCGGAGCCCACCGGGACTTCCCCCATCCAGATTTGGACTCTATCGTGCTAGCCATCCGAAGGTCCAGCTCCCTCCAACAGCGTTTTGGTGCACAAGGGCTGCAGAGAGCCGACCGTCTGCCGAACCGGAGCCGAGTTGGACCGGAACTGCGCTGCTAATCTACCAGCTAGTGAGTAAAGTTTAGTGTCTACATATACGTATGTTGTTAAAATGACGCAGGTTTAAGAGTTTAGATCATTGTTGAGTGTGGGAAGGGTTTCTAAAACCTTAAAATACATGAAAATACTAAAATAAATAGAACGTCCATACTTCGCGGATTTTCACTTATTGCCGGGGGTTCTGGAATGTAACCCCCAGCGATAAACGAGGGACTACTGTAACTCATAACAGTATTTGGATACTGTTATGAGCAAACGGTAACATGCAGCGTTGGGGAGTAAAGATGTGTAAACAGGTAGAAACATCCTTCCATCCATTATCTTTTACCCGCTTCTTCCATTTTGGGTCACGGGGGTCGCCAGTGCCCATGTCCAGCAATCACTGTGCGAGGGGCGGGGTACACCCTGGACGGGTCGCAAGTCCATCACAGGGACACATAGAGACAAACGAGACAAACAACCATTCACTCTCTCACTCACACCTAGGGACAATTTAGAGTTACCAATCAGCCTAACATGCATGTTTTTGGTCTGTGGGAGGAAACCGGAGTACCCGGAGAAAACCCACGCATGCACGGAGAGAACATGCAAACTCCACCCAGAAAGGCCCTCGGACCGGGATTTGAACCAGGGACCTGCTTGCTGAGAGGCAGCAGCTCTACCAGGTGCGCCACCGTGCTGCCTCAGGTAGAAACAGTGAGATCCAAAACAAACCAGATGTGACTGTATCTCACCTGCTTGGTCCTGTCTTGGGATTCAGGAGACAGATTGTTGTAGGTGTAATGAGCCTGAGTGATCCCACAGAACAGCACCGCTACCACACCTGAAAAACCACACAGTCAACTCATCCATAACAAAACATGTTAGCTCCTAACGGCAGGAGCAGACGGTGAGAGTATGATAAAAGCTGCAATGATCTGCTTTATTAATCCAGTATCATCTGTCCATTAGCCACATTGCTACATGGTTGTTTTTCACATTTATACAAGGATAAAGCGTGTGATGCTTTCTTATCAATATGACAAATGTGGTTTCAGAAGCAAGTGGAGCAAAGACTTTACAGAAAAACAACGTTTAGCTGAATATTTTGCCCTCACTCTGTGATAAACCAGTTTATCTTGAGTCTTAAGCTGCCGTGTAAAACTTCAGCTAAAACTACGTGGGTGTTTCAAGGAAATCCTTGTAAACATTTCCATGTACAACAAATCAAACGACTGAAGTGGTGACACAAATTTCAACTCTCTGCTGTTGAAGCTGCTTGCATATCCTGGCTGTCGATGTACCCGTGAAGCCGCAGGCCTCGGCCAGCAGAAAAGTGCTCCAGGACATCAGGAAAAAGAGCGCCGTCTCCAGCAGCGGGAAGTCCCTCAGCTTGGTGAACTTGGTGACGTGAGGACAGCTTAAAGCTAAGGAACAAAACAGGAGGTGCCACTAGCAAGTTAACAAATGTATGGATTTATAAAGACAACTATGGAAAAGCTTCGGGCCACAGTGGTTAAATATTGTCATGTAAAAGGATATGAAAGAGGTCAAGACTCCAGTAACCACTCCCAGAGCAAAAGATCCACTGAAGACGCCCAGAAAGACGCCGAAGGACTTCAGCACGGCCATGGCCTCGAAGCTGTGGCTGTTGTCCCCTGCAGGCTGATACGCCACAATGGAGCTGAAGGGCAAGTAGGGTACACAATAACATTTACAAAGAAAACAGACTTTTACTGAGAACACAGGAAGAGAAAGTGATGTCATGCTCGTGTTAAGTTAGAAACAGATTATCAGGCAACCAATCATACCTGAAGCAACTGATATACTGGGAGTTGGAAATATAGTGAATAAAAAGGGATAAGGTGCATGCTGAAGTCCCACCTCTCAACCACACTAGGTTAGGCTGATTTTTTTTTCTTTTTTTGCATACATAAATTGCAAAAAACTAATAAATGTATAATTTTCTGATCGTAGGTGCAGTCTATAAAATATAAAAGAAGAAAAAAAGGGATATGGCTGCAAAAGGGAGTACAGTAGAGAATGATCCTACAGGTGATTCAGGGCTACATTCTAAAGAAAAGATCTGCATTACATTAACAAATGGGGACTAACACTTTAGCACAAGCAAATCCACGCTGTCCAGCCAAAGCCGCCCACCCACCGAGGAGTAAATGTCTGGTTTTCTCTCAGCTGCTCCTCAGCCTCCTCAGACAAGGCCGAGTGAACAGCTCCAGCCCCGTGCTTACTCTGCTTTTCAAAGCGGAGGAGAACGCTACATACGTACGTACAGACAGGTGGTGAACGACACGGACGGATGGAGAAAGGCAAGCAGTGAAATGACAGGGATTGGTGTTAGTGTGGTTCGTTTCCATGTGCAGTGAACAACACAAAAAGACGACTTGCTTACAGTCGGCTCATTAGAAGGCACGGAAGTACAACATAAATAGTTCTTGTCCTGTGTTAAATTTAACTTGGAATTGCAGAATAAATAAAACAAAATGCAGAATTTCTAATGCTTCTTACAGGTAAAAAAAAAAGTTATATTTTACTATATCTTAACTGTAAAATATAAGAAGAAAAAAAAGATCTAATTTGCACAGAAAAACATCACACAAGCTGCTTGAGCTTCTTGAAATGATATAAGTTTACATTTTCCACAATATAACAGCTGTATCAAATCGTCATGGCTATCACACACAAGAGAACGGTTTGCATTGTTCATCTTTTTAAATAAGTGCCCTTTCAAGAACATTAAAACTTTGATTCCTTTAAAAAATACTTTCTTTGCTTTGAGAAAATGGAGGTGGCAGACGTGTGTTTCTGCAGGGTGGAGTGTGTTAAATGCTTACGAGGATAGGACGATGGCCACAGCATCGTTCAGAACACTCTCCCCAAACAGCAGCGCATACAGGTCCACGTCTACTTTTAGCTCATTGAAGATAGCCAGTACTGTCACTGAGAAAAATCAAAAGACAAAAATACCTCTAAGTGAGAGGAGGTGTGACTAAAACAGGACGAGTAAGAAGAAAATCTTTAAGCACAAAGTTCAACACTTTTTTAATGCATGCAAAATGTGACCTTGGTACGTGTAATTTAAAAAAAGTATTAAAGTAAATCAGATTCTTCCCATTAATATTGTACCATATTTTTCAGACTATAGGGCACTTCCTACCTGGGTCTGTTGCTGAGACGATGGCCCCGAAAAAGAGGCAGTCAGTAAAGTAAAAATCGCCTCCAAGCTGCCCCACGACTTTCATGAAGGACACAAAGCCATACATGATGAGCCTATGGTAGAAGGATGTAAAAAGAAATTTGTCTCGGTCTACTCTAACAAGTCACCAAAAGCACTATAAGAAAAATGACAAATTCCAGCTTTTATGTTAGAAGTAAAAAAAAAAGATGGACTTACCCTATAACAAAGCAGGATATAACTGTTCCCATGAAAGCATAGGTCAAGATGGAGCCAATGTTTCTAAAAAAGTGCCTCTGAGAAAATGGAAGACAATAAATCTAAGTTTATAATCTAAAATATAAAAATCCTAAATCGCAACATTAAAATTACAATAAAAGTATCCAAAGCTTTCATTGTCAAATAATCCTGTTTTACACACTTTACCCACTAAAAGATGGCAGAATAAATCTATGAAAATGTAATCCAGTAATTTCCCAAATCCTTTAAAACATCTTACCCTTTTTAAGCTGTAACCTGCGTGGAAGATTATGGGAGGCAGCAAAATGTTGAAAAACACTTCAGGGTCGAAGGTCACCTGACAACAAGAGGAAAGTTATGTTTTACATTTATTTGGGTTTATTCTGAATGTTTTCAACTTGTCTCCTTCCTACGTTTTTTTAGAAATTTATATATACCTTTTTAAAGTTTTCTCTTTGTGTATGCAATGTAGCAAACGTACCCAGATCGTAAAATTTGTTTTACTACATAACCTAAGAGAAATAAAGTTACTTCTACGTAACTTACTCTCTTGCCTCAAAGCTCTGAACAACTGATCAGTTTGTATCTTGGTAGAACAACTAAAAACCACCACATGCTACAAGCAGCCCTCCCGCTCATCTCCTTGCCTTTCGCAGCATCTCAACGTCCTCCATTTGATGACCTTTGCTCCGGCTGACTTCCCCCTTCAAAGTGTACTCGTAGAATCGCCCGCTGACGTTGACCAGCAAAGTGGCAGGACTGGCGTTGACGGCGCAGCTGAGGATCAGGTCGTTCATGCTTTGGGGAACGTGGATGCCAAACCGCAGGATCACACCCACCAGCAGGCCTTTGGGAACAGAAACCAAAACAAAAAATGAGAAGAAATGGCGACTCAACAGTTAGAGTATTCAACAGATAACAGTTTATCACCGTATTTACCCATATTTGAACATACTGTAACATGAACAGGTGAAACAGCTGTAGTTGCATATGTTATAAACAAAAATGCATGTAATTAAAAAATTCAACATATTTTATATGGTTTAATTCTCTTATTATTCTGATGGCTTGAATAAAGTAAGAAACTAAATCTAAGCTGATTTTACATCATACTGGTTGATTAATGTATCCTTAAATGAAAAATTTGCAAGCAAAACTTGTGAACAACTGCCGACAACGACGTGTTCGATTGATTTCCTACAAAAACAAATGAAGTGACTGAAAATAGGTCCACAATGGTGACACACACGAAAGAGCAAATTAGGATAAAAAAGCCTGACAATTTTGATATTTTAGTATGTAATCACATTCAAGTTTGCTAACTGGAGTTTCCAAAAGCAGAATGGGAAGAAGATCTTTGTGGAACCAACTTCCAGTTTCTGTCCATGAGGCTGACACATTGTCCAGTTTTAAGACTGGGCTTAAGACTTTCCTTTTTGATAAATCCTATAATTAGAGTTGACTTGTTATACTGCCTTAAACTTAGATTACTGGAGGACAAATTGGCTTAATTTCCTTAAACGAGTTGTTAAAACTGATTAGTTTTCATTTGAACCTATTTCTATCTTAACGTGATTCTTGACCTGCCATTGTGTATCTGGTCCTACCAAACCCAGCCGGTCGAAGCAGATGGTCACTTGTCCTGAGCCTGGTTCTGCTAAAGGTTTCTTCCTCGTGTAGGAGTTTTTCATTTCCACTGTCGCCTTCATGCTTGCTCAAGATGAGAGTTCTGTAATGGAGTTCAATTCAAAGCAGTCTGGTCCTCAGATAAATAGTGTTAAATTATTATTTTTATGAATGTTTTTGTTAACTTATTATATTATATATTAATGTTTCTGTTCGGTGCCCTGGGGTAACTTCTGTTGTGACTTGGTGCTATTATATAAATAAACTGAATTGAATTGAGTAAAGCAAGTGTAGAAAAGAACTTTGTTTACATTGATTGCATACCTGCATTTCAGAATTGCATATCAATATGGAATTCAACTGGAGCAAACTATTTCAAACTGCAGCATTTGGTATAGTTCAGGCTAGCATTTGTATGTGTAACTCCACATTTTGTATTAAGTACTTAGTTAAAAAAAAAACACACACACATTCTTAACCAACATATGCCACAGTTTATAGGCTCAGATTGACTGGTGTGCTTCATAACTTTACCTATTAACCCAAACACTAAACAAGATTAACCCCTTGCACTTTCTGTTAATGAACAACTTGGAACAATTAATATCTATAAAAACCTGGCATCCTGTTTTTATACACTACAGCATGACCCAACACCAGTCTGTTGTGGTACAACAAATGAGTAAATATCTCACATTACTCAAAATGACAGCCCAATTGTTTACCATTTTTTAAAACAAAACACACGTATATATAAAATTACACGTCTTGAAGGTGGTCCACGTGCCCTTGCACGCGAGAAGAAAGTGTTTAACCGGCTTAAGGAGCTAGCTGCTGTGCGGCTAACGCTAAGCTAACACCGTTAGCTCGCTGTTCTTACCGTAGATCATGGCGAGCCCCGTTTCGTGGAGGAACCTGAACCGCCGGTGCTTGAAGAGCCATATCGTGAGAATGGTGAGCGTTAGAAGCATTATGAATAGGAGCAGATAAGCGCTGTCCTGTCGGTGGCTTTCCTCAGCCATCCTCTCGGTGACGTTATCCAGCCCATTGCTGTCGCCGTCACCGAGGCTGCCGACGAGCAGGACCGACAGCAGAAACGGCACCAGAAGGAGCCCCTTTGACGGTTTGACGCCTTGAAAGCGCCTTAAGTTTAATTCCATGATGGTTTTGTGTGACAGAGTTACATTTGCGGTATCGGTTCGGCAAAGAGATCCTCTCGTAGAACGTAAACGACGACTCCTTCCGCAGCCGTTACCAAAACACTGACACTTCCGGTTTTTCAAAATAAAAGACGCTTTCAAGGTGAGGAGGAACTGCAACCAACAGCGACCCACAGAGGTGCTGCAGAGAGGGAAGCACTCCATACTTCTCTCTTAGGTCTGAAACTTTAACAGTAGTAAGTCCATCCATCCAGCCATCCATTTTCTTTACCCGTTTATTCCATTTTGGGTCACGGGGGTCGCTGGGGCCCATGTCCAGCAATCACTGTGCGAGAGGCGGGGGACACCCAGGTCTCCAGTCCATCACAGGACCACATAGAGACAAATGAGACAAACAACCATTCACTCTCTCACTCACACCTAGAGACAATTGAGACAAACAACCATTCACTCTCTCACTCACACCTAGAGACAATTGAGTCACCAATCAACCTAACATGCATGTTTTTGGTCTGTGGTCTGTATTTTTTGTCACATTTTTTGGATGATTGTTTCCTCTGGTATTGGATGCTGTGCAGCTGGAAGGATTTTTACTGAAACTTTTTTAGTTTTGGACATTTGTTATGATGCGTAACCATGGCAACAAGGCAGTTTCTACAACCAACAGCAGCTGATTAACATCTCAAAAGCTCAAGTAATATCTCAACTACAGCCCTAAATTTCAAATGAGTTGAAAAGGATGTTCTGTGGACGCATTTTCATCTACCTGCCAGCTGTGCTTGAGTGCCTGACCACTGAGATCCTGGAACTAGCAGGAAACACGGCTCATGACAGCGGAAGGACAGGATCGTCCATCAGCACCTACAGTTGGCTGTCCGCAGCGATGAGGAGCTCAACAAGCTGCTGGGAGGAGTGGCCATTGCCTTGGGAGGATTTCTGCCCAACATTCAGGTGATCCTGAAGCCCAGGAGGCCAACCAAGTGCAAGTAAACGGATCAACATCTGTGGCCAGTTTTTTCAGATCTGCTATAAGACGGACCATCACAAGAGATCCTTCCTGCCCACAACCATCAACATCTAGAACAACTCTTTTATGAAACAAGGAAAATGAGCTACAACAACATTTAATTTCCCTCTGGGATTAATAAAGTATTTTTGAATTTGAATTGAATTGAATTACCGCAGTTGTCTAATATGGTTTTTAAACTCATCAGAAACTGATTATTGGATATTGAATTTTTCTAATAGACAGGTCAAATTTCACAATAAAACGCAAGAGTAAAAATTAGATTGGCCCCAACATGCAAGACAATATGTAACTTATCAAAAGAAACACAGCATTCATCAAATAATACTCTGAACAAAATCTATAAACGTTACATTGTGGTTGTTCATTTTTTAGGGTTTTTTTTTTTTTTCCTTCTTTATTTTAAGGTTTTTCAAAACGTCTTCTACTTTTCGGCTTTTCCTTCTTCAGGGGTTGCCACAGTGAGTCATCCTCCTCCATCTCACTCTGTCCTCTGCTTCCTCTGTCCTCACTCCACCCACCTCCATGTCCTCTCTAACTGCATCCATATATCTCTTTGTCTTTTTCCTGGCATCTGCATTTCTCACATTCTTCTACCAATATACCCATTGTCCCTCCTCTTGACATGTCCAAACCATCTCAGTCTGGCCTCCCTAACTTTAGCTCCCAGTTGTTCAACCTGTGCTGTACCTCTGATGATCTCATTCCTAATCTTATCCATCCTTGTCACTCCTAAAGAGAACCTCAACATCTTTATTTCTGCTACTTCCAGTTCTTTCTCCTGTCTTTTTGTCAGTGCCACTGTCTCCAGACCATACAAAATAGCTGGTCTCACCACTGTCTTGTAAGCTTTTTCAAAAAGTCATTAAGTTTTTGGTTTTGTTTAATTTTGTTTATTGTTATCATTGAAATAATCTTCACAAAGAAGCTAAAAACTGTGATAAAATTTGCATTTAATCAAATAAATTAAGATGTTGGCACAAAAAGCATTACTAAAACAAAAAGTCTATTCATAGTGTAGATGAACATATGCATGATATATTCATAAATTAAACGGGTTCTTTCATTTTTCTGGACTGTATATAACGTGCATTGAATTTAATAAAATGTATCGTGAGACGTTATTTATCTTTGACCCATCAAAATGAATGTGGTCATTTATTTACAGAATCAAAGTTTAACATCAAACATTTACATTAATTTGGCACATTGAAAAATAACAACATGGCTAATTTTAGCAAGCTATACAAGTGATTGATTATCCACACGGCGGTGGATGAGCACTTTACACAGACATTTCTAAAATTATCTGGAATGATTTCTACTTGATAGAAGAATTTAAAGAGGAAAGATGAAGTTTAGTGGGAGAAAAGATGGGTGAGGGGGTTTGTTTATGTCGGCACCAGAAACAGCACTTTCCGGGTTTCTCAGCTTTTTCCCCGGTACACTTAGGTGGCAGAATTGGATGGGTCAACCTGTATTTCTGGATTCAAATCAATGAAATGACAGTTTCTGTCCCACAAGGTCAAGTTTTGACATCAGGTCAAGTTCACTACAATAGGAACAGACATTGCTTCAATTTGTGAAATACTGAAGGAAAGTTGAATAATTTGGATTTGATTTGCATCTTGCTGGTAAAAGTTTGCAGAATGATGTGGTCATTTGATCTGCTACCAGTATTAAAGTCTAAACATAAAGGAAGATGAATAGTCATATTTCAGGAAGGAAACCTTTTAATTATCTTGCTTTTTGAACACATGACAGGAACTCTTTCTCAATCATGGAGTCATTTTTTTTTATAGAAAAGCATGTTGCAAAGCCACTTAGAATCACTAAAAGGGCCCATACGAATCAAGGTGAGCAAGTTTCCATGCATCATTGATTCTGTAAATAAAAATAAAAGCACAATGCATTTTCCTTACTTTATCATTTAATTGTTAATAAAGTTTGTACAAGTGGAGTTAGGGCAGTCATTTCTACATGTTAGTAGCAAAGTCTTCATTTTTGTCACTGTAATGTTCAAACAATGATCTGATTTTATTTTTCTTATTAATTTCAATTGAACCTAACAACCCAGTTATGAAAAAAAAAAGTTTCTTTGTGTCTTATATCCATTTAATATAGAAGATATAAAGAAATCTAAGGTGTGTGGCTCACATCTCACACAAAAAAGTAGGGAGAAAATCCAAAAATGTCTAGATCTACAAGAAGATCAGTTATTGGTCTAAAAGTCCATCAAGAGCTGTAGAAACATTATGACCCGTCTGTCCAGCCTACGCAGTTTAACCATTTTTAAAGTGCTAAAATCTGTACACATGCCTGTTTTTCTGCTTCTACTTCAAAAGACCGAACCCCAACTCGCTGTCTAATATCTTCCACCTGCTGCCCACTGAAGTTGTAAAGACAAAATTCTTTCACTTCTCCAGGCAACAGTCATAATGTGATTGCAGTCTTTTATCCCCAACCTCCAGTTTCCATCCAATTTAAGACAGGCATGTCCAAACCAAACAAAAGACTGAATTCCCTCCACTGGGTCCTGGATTTGTTCTGAGGCGTCCTCCGAGGGAGACACGAGTGTGGTAGACTTCCTGCAAACATACCAAACATCATCTAAACTAAATATTCATCAACAAATAGGATTTTATTATGTGAATGCTGAGTCAGAATTCAAACATTGTTCTCCTGTTTTTACTGACTCCCACTGTTTTGTGCAGGTCAGCTACATAATTTGTGCTGTTTTAACCATCTATCATGTACTTTTATCCACTTTTTCATGCTGGATCACTGGGGAATTGGTTGTACGAGAAGCGGGGGACACCCTGGACAGGTCTCCAGTCCATCACGCATACGAGACAAACAACCATTCACTCTCTCACTCACACCTAGGGACAATTTAGAGTCACCAATCAGCCTAACGTGCATGTTTTTTGGTCTGTGGGAGGAAACCGGAGTACCCGGAGAAAACCCACGCATGCACGGAGAGAATATGCAAACTCCACCCAGAAAGGTCCCATGCTGGGATTTGAACTGGCAACCTTCTTTTTGAGTAGCAAGAGCTCTACCAACTGCGCCACCGTGCCGCCCCTTTTGGTAATTTATTTAGTTGTTTTTAAGTTTGTTTCCTTCTGTTTGTTTTGTTTATTTTCTGAAGTTTGTTTTCTCTGTTTATTTCTGTTCTTTGTGTGTATTCCTTCGTGTTATTATCCGTCACTTCTCCTCAGTCAGCTCACGCTCCCTCACTCAGGCTCAGGTACACCTGTTCTTGGTTCCATTAGTTAGAGCTGCAGCTAATCTTCTCATCGGTCCCAGTCCTTATAATCATTCATTCAGCTTTCATGCCATGTTCAGGCGTCCCTCCTTGTGCCCATCCTGTTTTTGTAAGTTGTTCAACTGTTTGTTTTATTTTTGAATACGAGTTCAACTTTATTTTTGGGCTCCTCGAGTCAGTCTGCATCTTTGGGTCAAAAATTTACCTCAGAGATACATTAGGATGTTAATTCTTTCAGAAACATTGCTCTATTTGAAATCTGCTTCAAACTTGCTGTGTTTTTGTCTTTATATGCTACTTTTGAATTTTAGTTACTGTTTTGATCATTTTAACTTTTCTTGTGCTTCATAAACAACCTTATTTCATAATATATCTTAAATGATGTCACAGTTTCATTTGTCTTGATTTCAGTTAGTTATTTTTGTTTGGTCATTTACTACAAATATCTATGACTTTGTTAAACTACAGAAACAGTGAGAAAAAAATTAAAATAGCTCTGCATTTTCACTATTCAACAGGAAGATGAGCTATAGCACCACTTTTTCCACACATACTCAAAAATACCCTGGTCAAATTCACTAAATGAACATCAGATGATAACACGCAGAGGCGTAAGAGATGAAACGTTAAATACTAGTTTTTTAAAATGATGATTGACAGCTTAATAATACACTGACTTTATTGCAAATAATACCTGAACATTAAAGAAAGGCTTCTAAATACCAAATATAAAGCAGTTTTGATCTTAACAGATAAGGCTTTGAAGTAAAATATTTACAGATAATTTTATTTAACAAAAA